GGGGGGGTCCCGCGGGGATGGCAGGAGACCTGGGGGACAGGAGGAGCCCTGGGGGGACACAGAGGGGACATACAGGAGCCTGGAGGGACAAGGGGACACACAGAGAACCCCCCCCCCCAGGGGACAAGGCGGGGGGACATGGAAAGGATGTGTAAGAGCCCGAGAGGGACATGGGGGGACAGGGAAGAGTCCTGGGGGGGCAAAAGGGGACACTGAGGAGCCCTGAAGAGGACGAGAGGACACGGAGGGGAACACACAAGAGGATCCCTGGGAGGAACGAGGGGACACACAGCTTTGGGGAGGGGGGACGACAGAGGGGACACACAGAGAAGGGGACACAGAGGATGCCCAGGGGGATGAGGGGACACACAAGGGGGGGGGGGAACACAACCACAACATAGAGGGGACACAGAGGATCCCTGGGGGGGGATGAGGGGCCACACAGAGGGGACACAGAGGAGCCCTGGGGGGGACACGGGGGCAGCCCAGGGGCCACACACACCGAGAAGCCCCCACACCGGGGGACACGTGATGACAGTCCCACGTGTCCCCCCACCCTGCCCCCCCCAGCCCCTTTCCTCACCTCCGGACGAATTTGGAGGTGAACTTGCTGAAGAGGCTGGCGGAGGGACCGCGACGACCCTGACTGGCACCGGAGGGGGAGGCGGGGGGCAGACCGGGGGGCAACGCGTAGGGCAGGGGGGTCTGGTCGCGCGTCTGTCGCAGCTGTCCGGCGTGGAAGGTGCTGCGGCTGGAGACCCCCCGGGGGAAGCTGGGTCGTTCCCCGGGACCTTGGCTGACGTTGTGGGCTGAAGGAGAAGCTGCCGGTACCCGGCTGGGTGCCCCGCTGTGGGAACGGAGTGGGGGGGGTTAATGGGGGTGTGGGTGGCACCCCCCCACCCAGCCCGCCACACCCTGGGGACATGCAGGTGGTAACTCAGGGCACCCTGGGGACATGTCGGCACCCCACAGCACTGTGGGGACCCACCAGCACCCCACAGGGACCCACTAGCACCCCACAGCACTGTGGGGACTCGCCAGCACCCCACAGGGACCCACCAGCACCCCAGAGAACCATGGGGATGCAGCTTTCCACAGCCCAGGGACCTGCTGGTAACCCACTGCACCTTGGAGACCTGCCAGCACCTCACAGGGACCCACCAGCACCCCAGGGACCCGCCAGCACCCCACAGGGACCCCAGCAGGACGCACCAGCACCCCGCTGCACCCCAGGGACCTGCCAGCACCCCCACAGCACCACAGGGACCTGTTGGTACCCCACAACACCCCAAATCCCTCCCCCGGCCTGCTGTGGGGGATACTCTGGGGAATTGGGCTGGGGACAGGGGACACCCCAAATCCCCCATTCCCTGGGGGCATGCTGGGGTGCCAGGCGGGGGACACCAGCACCCTGAGTCACCCCAAATCCCTGGGGACACGCTGGGGTGCCAGGCAGGGTCAAGGAGAGGCATGTGGGGACCCCCCCACCCCAAACCCTCCCAGGGGTTCCCCCCAGGACTCGGGCCCCGCGCCAGGATTTTGGGGGAGGTGGGCGGCCTTGCCTGGGCCGGGTGGCCTCGCAGTTGGCATCGGTAGGGGTGGCGGTGGGTTTCGGGTGCTGCCGGGACCGCGGGGGAGCCCCAGGGGCCGGGGGAGCA